TTAAGACATAAATTGAACCTAGTTTTTCATTTTTACCCTTATTAATTATTGTCAAATTTATGATTAAAATAACTAAATATTAATTAATCACTAATTCCAATACTAGCTAATGAAGGGTAAAATTGGAAGAACACTCTAAAAGTAGTCTTGAAAACTGAATAATTAAGTTAATTTGAAAATGAAAAATGCCTCAAAAATTAACTTAATATGGAATGAAGGGAGTAGGATTTTTTGAGGTTAATGTGTATAATTAAAGAAACTGACGTATTTTAAGTGGTCAATTTATCTACATCTCAAGAATAACAAAAACCTTTTCAAAATATATGCCGAAAATAACTAATAAAAATACTTTATCACGTATTTAGATGCTCAATCAAAACAAGTATATAATAAAAATATTTAAATGAAATTTACTAACAAATTTACGATCGCATGAATATATTCAAACTTTTTCTTTTTTCAAATCACATCAAATGTGAACCTTAGTTTTCAAGATTCGTATGGGTAGATCACGTTGTTTATGCTTTGCCAAATTAGATGACTTCATAACCTGGGTGATGACTCCAAAACTTGCCAACCCCCAAAGAAAAGTCCAGTCATCAAACTCTTTGAAAATCGTAAGGAAAAGAACATGCAATGCCATGCCATCAAACTTTGACAAAACATTAATTTATGTCGTTCGGTAAAAAGTAGGATGGACATAAATATTGAAAAATTGAAAATTGAATTGAATTCAACTAATTCGTTTTTTAATTTTCGGTTTGATGTTGATGTTATTTTTTTAAAAAATTGGTTCTTCTGTTGGATGTTCAGTGTAAGGGTTTTAAAATATCGGTGCACCGAAGAATCGAACTTTTATTTAAAAAATAGAAATAAAAAAAATAATAAAAAAAATAAAAATAAATATATATATATATATATTTATGGATATTCTCTTAACTAAAAATATAACATTTAAATCATTCATGAACAAATCAAAGAAGCAACAAATGTACAATTCAATAGTTAACTTCAAATATTAATTTCCAAGAGGAACCAAAACATATTTTTGTCATGTACATTATGCAAAGGAACTTGTCTTCGTCCTTTTTTTTTCTCGAGAAGTAATTGGAGGCACAATGTTCTTGACAAATGTAAATATAGTCTTTTAGTTAGCACAATAAGTGTTTCAGGACGAAACACATTATTCCTTAACATACTTTTAAATTTTAAAGTATCTTATACTTTGAATTTGTCCTCATTTTATTTTTCATACACCAAAAAATTGATTTTAAAACATCAAACTAAACCGAATCGAAGTAGAAAAAATCGAACCGAATTAGTTTGATTTGATACACCGTGCACACTTTTCTAATATCGAAAACCGAAGATCCGAATCGCACTGAACTGAAAAACCAAACGCCCACTCCTAATTAAAAGTTTGACTCATCTTTGTCATTTTCGTGCGTAAGAAAAGGCTGATCAAAGTGTGGGTAAGCTTGGACTGCAATTAATGGATCTTGACAAGAAACTAATTCATAATTCATCATCGCAAAATTCTCCCATTCGAATCAAAGTGATTCCGTTTGATCTCGATCCGAATTAATTTCATGAGTAGATAATTCTAAATCTATCTCACTCTTTTTGAATAATTCATTTTTATAAATACGACGTTTGACGTAAATTCATTTATATATTATATTTCTATAATATAAATAGTAGTACTTTTTATTCCTCTTACATAATATGGTGGACAAATAAAAGTTCCCCACAGTACCTTCCCATTGCCATACCTAATATTTCATGTGGACGTTTACTGCCACCAACCATATGATAAAGAAACTCCATAACTCACACACTTTTTGGCCATTTGGAAAAATATTGGGTTGACTTACGAATGATGAATTGTATATTTTGATCAAAGACTCTGTTGGTTTGCCTGCTATTGTCATATACCGCCCTGTCCTGATCCTTTATAATCATATAATGACATACTTAGTCTAGTCGTTCTATAAGTAAGGTTTGAGAAGAATAGTGTATCTGTATAGAGATGGTTTTCGGTATAACTCATTAATTGGGGTGTGCTTGGTATTGAAGAAAAATGTTTTCCAATTTCTTACGTATTTTGTAGTGTTTGATAAGTAAGTTAAAAAATATATCATTACAAGATTATTTATATATGTAGTCTAGTAAAATACTATTGGGGTAGAGGGGTGGAGAGTGGGGGTGTAGGGTAGGTGGGGAGGAGCGATAATTAACTTGAAATCTCACTTAATTATGGAACTTATTTTCCCTATGTACATCATATATGTCGTTTTTCTTATTTTTAAGAAACTTATTTTCCTAAAAAAATATTTTAATAGATGAAACATAAAAAAATTTGGAAACGCCATACCAAAACACCCTTACAAGTGAAGTACTACAATATATGAGGATCTAAACATCAAATTACTTGATTAATTATGATAAATAGATTTATATAATTTGATGTAAACACTCGATTGATTGATGTAAATTTTTACATGCAACTAGAGGGTTATATATAAAGCCACAGATGGATTGGGTTTTCAAAAAGAAGATCATCAAATAACAAAGCAAATTAAGAATGAGAAAATGACTCTTATAAGTTACACCTACCACATTAATATTTGCCTAAACATATACTTGTACTTCATTATGTGTACCCTCTGGAAATAATAATATCATTTCTGATGGCATAGGTGTATGTAGGGCATGTGTTTTATGGTATATGTAGGACACAAATTGGGACGTACGTTTTTATTTGCATGCACTATTAATCAATTCTATCAAAAAATCAAGCGAACGTACATTTGAATGAAATTTTCTAGTACTATAATTATTGTATTGTTATGTTGAGCTTACGTGCTATTAACGGCATCAGAATTTGAAATTTCTGTATTTAGGATTAATCTAGTCATTTTAAATTACGTAGTTCCAGCTAAATTAATATTTTAATACATATTAAATGAATTTTTTAAAACAAATATAGAGTTTTGACCAGAGTAAATTAACAAAACTTTTCTTTCATTGATTTATGAAAAAGAGCTATTAAATAGGACACGTGAAGTTAGGTTTTTGTTCAAACAGTACTGTTTTTTTTTCTTCAAGGGAGAAACAGAGCCCCTCCAACCTATAGTTGGTAATCAAAATTTGGTTACCATCTATCTCATCGGCGTTGGACTAAATATTAAATAGGCGTTTGGCCATGCGATTTGAGATATAACCGAATGTTCTTTTGCTTATAATTTTCAAGGCAAGCGAATGATAATTCCTGTGCATTTTGATTTAAAATCAGTGTTTATTTATCAATCGTGAAGAAAATTTCAATTTTAACTTCAATCTCGATTAGAAATTTCAAAACAATAGGATTTCAAATTTCAAGTATGGTTCCGATTTATTAAAATATAAAACTTATTTTTGCGAAAAATAACTCATACTCAACATGAAAAGATTGTCCGTATCATGTTTGAGGAATATTATTAAGAAAAAATAGTTACTATTGTTGTTGATTGATCGATCATAGCAGTGGATCTTTGTAAAATCATGTATATTTGAGAGTTTGAAATAACATGTAATCGCAAGTATTTACTCATAAAAAGAACATAGAGCTATGCAATTTATTAATGCAACACCGTAGAATGTTTTGATACCTTATTTATGAACTATTGTTGTACAAGAGTTGCTGAAGTTTTGATAGTTTTTCACGGTTTAAAGTCTCGAACTAAATATGTAATGCTAAATTAATGAGTTTGTATTTAGAGTCAAACAACCCATTATAAAGAAGTCCTCTCTAGCTATTGATGAATATAATGTATAAGCTGGCAAAAATACTAGACAAACATTCATACTGATAATATGTAGATTTGGCAACGCAGCCTTAAGTTTTTCTTAAAAGACAAAACATTCTTACCAATCACATTTTTCCCCATCTTTGGAAGTTTTTCAACTAAAAGAAGGATTTGAAATTGTTTTCCATTAAAAAAGACAACATGCATACCAGTTACAAATAATGCACAAAGTTTTCAAAATTATGACACATTTCTAGTCTTGTAATTCAAAAAACTTTTTTCAAGATTGTTTTGTCCATTAGTCCTTGACATATATCATTACTTTACTCTGTAACATGAAGGTACAATAATTCATGTATGGACTGCAACTTGTAAAGCTGATAAATGGGCATGAATACGTATAACAAAATGGTGGACAAGACTGGCAAAGATCCTGTGAAACAAAAAATAATTGCTATCAAACAAACAAGGTTCACTGGGAAATATATTTCCAGGTAGTGTATATATGTGTACGAAAAGCAAGGGCATGGGTTGATATTTGACCCTGTGCTATGAGAAAAGCAATGAAATATGAACGCTTTTCTGAATGCGGCTATAATCAAATTTGAAACTCAGATCTAGATCTGGCAAAAGCGAAAGCCACTAACATAATTCGAATAGAGGCTGAACTACTCATCATCCCTCCACACTCCACAGTAACTTTTTGAGCCAGATGGTTAAAAGAAGTTAGAATCTGGCCTTTTAGCTTGTTATGACAAATATAACATGGTGTCAAGGGGTCTTTGGAATTGGTAGATTAATCAGCCTCTGCATATTCATATCACTTTTTCAGCAACTCTTCCATGACAAGGATTTCTTTCATTCATTAATATGAGATGATTCTATTACAAAGGAATGCCTACTGCAGCTCTTGCTTTGCTTCTTATACCATAAATCTCTCATTATCCTCGACTTTCCTCCCACTCGTTCTCCTGTTACCCGATGCACCTTGTCTATGACTATGAGTGTTCACTAATGAGGGGGGCAGTACGGAGGAACAAGGAATTATCCTTGTCATGAAATAAGAAACAAGTCTCATTGGCAAAATGATGCAATGAAACAAATATGATTTAGCCTTATTTGGCCACCTGAAAAGGTAAGCTGGAGGATCAAAATCTATTTACCAATGAACCGTGAAATGCTATGGATGGGGCCATCCAATACAAATGGAAGTAAGTTATACAATTTTTGAAATAGAGTAGATGAACTAGTACTCAATAGCTTTATTAAGAAAAATTACATCAATGAACAGACTAACAAAAGAAGTTGACACAGTAATTGCACATCAAAATGCAACTGTGGAAGGCCAAAAAGAAGAAAGGGACAAAAAAGGACTCGTGCAAACGCATATAATACAGAATACAGTATAATTTAAACACTGACAACAAACACATAATGCAAAGACTCACACAGACTTGGATGGCCAAGACTAATGCGTTTGTTATGAAATTAATGACAAGCACATAATGTGAAGGCTTATGCACCCTTGGATGGCCAAGATGCTTGAGCTGACATGATAATTCCCACAATAACACCGAACAGCCCAAGTGCACTACCAAAAATCTCGATCACGAGGATCTTAACGAAAAGTGAGGAGTTCTGTGCATCAGATAAAGCACAGCTGCTTCCAATTATTCCAACGCACAACCTTTTCAAAAGAAATAAAAGGAATAATAATAATTAAAGGGAAGAAAAAACATTGCTTTAAACTTAAAACCACTAGTGGAAATCCATGTACAAGGAGAAAATTATTTCAAACTCACCCACAGACAAGATTGGCAAAGCCCACAATGATACCAGAAGCAAAAATTGCATAGCCAGCTCTAAGAGATTCTGGTGCATAAATCTGTGAGGCAGGTACACTCTCGAGCTTTGTTTGAAGAATGATGGCCACAATAACACCATATATAGCAACCGCTTCACAAAAAATTACACTGACGAAGAAACTTTTTGAGACATTGCACAAAATAGGACTGGAAACAAACTAAAGATAAGAATCATCAATAATGGCATTATGCATATGCGGTAGACTATGAGCCTTTGACTTCAAACTTGCTTATAGATATAGTACACAAGCATATTAAGCCAAGGGCCAGAAATCGTTCCAATACCCCAGAACCATACATCTCTGTTCTCTCATCAGGGCATAACATTTCTTATATATAACTTTAAAATATGTGTCATAAAGGGCAGGACAAGATTGTAAACAGAAGTTCATGAAGATAGCAGAGAGTATAATGGGCTAGTTGACCAAATGAAGCTCAGACATAGAATTACCACTCTTAATGAGAGTATGTTTCCAAATAGAAAATTATGCAATCACGGAATAGTTTGTCAAACTCATGTATCATTGGCTGACAGCACCTAGTGATTACACTATTAGCTAAACAGAGCTATAATAATGGTAGAGCAAACTGACTAATTAAGCTCACAGTTTGGAATCAAACTACCATCAGAATAAAAAACATAACCTGCAAGCAAAATTTCTGATACAAACATATGTGGTGCTAAGGCAAGTAAAGAGTAAGGTAAAACAACACATTATTAGAAATTTTGGTCTGCCTAAGCTTGACTACTCTTCTCATTTCGCACTAACAATACATCTATTAAAAATTACTCTGACTTGAAGCCAAATATCAATCCATGTTATACACTTTAACATGCATGGTGACATTTTCAAGGTTTTTTTTGGTTCACGAACTAGTTATACAGAATCTTTATATGCTTTAAAAACAACATGAATTGTTAGCAATGGATGATAATAAAGGGGATTGTTATGCAAAGATCGAGATCAAAGCCAATAATCAGCTTAATCCCCTAGTATATCTAATAGCCTAATACACCTATTCATTTCCACTTTATGGCAAACAAAACAAAATACATGAATTTTAGCAATTTCTGCTGGTATCAAACTTCTCAATTCACGCTGCAGTAATTAAAAAAAGCAAATTACCTAATCAGATTTTTGGAGGTAATCCGAGGAGCTTTGATGGCAGCACCAATCAAACTACTTCCAGTTATATATATTCCCCTAAAACATTTCATAATTCCAACGGAAATCATTAGATTGATAAAAAAAATTGATTGAAAACCCTAGGGAGTAATAAATGAAAAGTTTACCAAGCAGCACCAAGCACTGAAACGCCGATGGCAATGGCAATTCCGATGGCGGAGAAGGTGTACGGAGAGATCTGAACTAACGCTCGCGACCATGAGCTCGATGGACCCGCCATTATTGATGGTTTTCACACAAAACGATCCTGATCTCAATTACTTGAATCCGATGAATCAAAGGAGAGAGAAAAGAGCATGTGTCGTGTTGGACCGGGTCACTAGCTTCTTATTTGGGTCAATTTAACAAAGTTTGGGCCGATTGAGAAAATTTCCTATTTTCGAGTGATTTTTAATTTTTGTTGCTTAATCGATGGTCTTTAATTTTTGTTCTTGTTTCTTATTTAAGAAAAAATTATGGCAAAGATATCTTAAATATGACCTAATTTCGTAAGGCAAAATTTTAATTAGAAAATTTAGCCTCAATCAACATTAGTTTGTATGAATAAATTGTCTTAAAATGTTACAAAAGTTTAGAGTAGAGAACGTAGCCTATAACTATAAGTAAGTACAAATAAATTAAACCATGTGAATATTTTTTTATTCAACCACTATTTTTGTTATTTAAAATGTGAGGACAAAAAGTAAAGACCATAAATTTGAGGGATAAAAATTAAACACCATCATAAAATAAGCCATTCTTGCGATTTGTGAATGACCAAATTGGCATAAATGTGCCAACCCGGTAACAAAGGACTTCTTATGTAAATGTACAAGTGACAAAAAAAATCAACCAAAATGATTGTATGTATCTAGAATGTATTGATATTGTATAAATAATGTATCTATAATGTATCGATATTAAATAAATAATGTGTAATTGTGTATATTTAATGTATAATCAATGATGATGTCTTGGATATGTATATTAATAAAACAGAGATAGTACATCAAAACAAATTGATTTACTGAAATTTGATCTAAAGGAATATCTTCACTATCAGATTAAAGGGATGACAACAATTGATGTTTTTTGTTAGTTTTGCTATTAGTTGGGCATGTTACTTTTTAAATTGTGGATGTGATCGTTAGGGCTATTTACTTAACATAAACAGATATATTGCAAAAATTTTAACTTGTATTGTTGGGGTTTCCCCTCTAAAAATAGGCGTATGCCACTATTTGCAACGTGCACACGGTATTCTTTAGTAAAAGGCGAAAGAATAGTTCGCTATGTGCTCATTGCGTGGCTGCGTGAGTTATGCTGAGGCGTTTGATCTCCTTATATACAAGTTCATGCCATTTGCATCTTCACTTACTTACTGATGTGGGATGTTTTTCTAGTTTCTGCAGTGGGCTAATGCTATGGGCTTTATGTATTGGGCTTGCATTTTGGGCCTGTCAATATGAGCTTCACACCGTTTTCAATATCGAGCTCATCAAAAAGAAAATCTTTACTTCGCACTGTTTTTAATATCCATCTCATCAAGAAGAAAATCCTTAGTAATTTTTTAAGTTTGTGATGATGCATAGTCAAAGGATCAAAAGTGCATATGTAAATTACTAATTAAAGGTTAAATGAGCTTAAACAAGCTTGCTTCCAACTGATATCTAAGCTAGCCTAGTAAATTAACATTGCTCTTATTATATTGAATCTGAAATCATTATCTTCGTCATGTAGGAACCCACTAAATTAAATAATGTGTCCCTCTCAAATATGTTTTGAAATTGTTTTTCTTGAATCGAGCGTCTTATCAGAAACAATCACTCTATCTTATTCAAGATAGAAGTATAATTTGCATACAATCATACACCACAACCTCCCCGCATGCAAATATAAAATAATAATCTTGCGCCATACTTATGGTCCTGAAAAATATATATTTTAAAATAAATATTCCTTGTCATATGACTCCAAAAACAGCATTTGATATTATGACAAACCAATATTCTTATCCTATATCAGCAAGACCATTATATAAGATATGTGGATTAATGTGTCACACACATCAATTCCAAGAAATTAATTAAGAGACAAAAAAGTAAATTAAAAAAAATCCATGGGTTCTCTAACAGTTTCCCACAAACTTCCTGTTATTGATTTCACCATGGAGAATTTGGAACCAGGTGCAAATTCATGGTCCAAAGCAAGTAAAGAAGTTGTTTGTGCTCTTGAAGAGTATGGTTGTTTTGTAGCATTATATGATAAAGTCTCATTAAATATCCATGATGATGTTTTTCAAGCACTAGAAGAGCTGTTTGATCTTCCAACTCAGAAAAAAGTACAAAATAAGTCTAGTAAACCTTTGTATGGTTATGTTGGCCAAATCCCATTTATTCCTCTTTATGAGAGTATGGGCATTGATAATGCTAATACACTTGAAGGTATCCAAAATTTCACCAATTTCATGTGGCCTAATGGAAACAATGATTTTAGGTAATATTTTCTTTGTTAAATAGTCCCACATCGGTAATGGTAATTTGTTTCATGTATAGTCCGGGGCGAATCTCATATCTTTAGCTAGTTTTTGGAGTTGTGTTAGGTTGAATGTTCATTTTCTTATCATGATATCAGAGTCATACAGTTAAATATCCATGTTTCACTCAATGTTGGGCCTTTCCATATTATCTTGTCTATATGACTCTAGTTGTCAGGTCTAGGTGTGCGGAGTGTTAGTAGTCCCACATCAGTGGATGATATGACAATGTGTCTTATATGATCTTGGATAATCCATTACTCTTGAGCTAGTTTTTGAGTTAGAAATAGCCCTACCCAAGATTGAAATTGAAATATATGTATATAGTTGAATGATTCACTATTTATCATTCCAATTTCCTTGAGAAAGAAAATAAATCAAAACAATAATAACTTCTCATTAGTCTTGGGCGAATCTCAATATTTAGCTAGTTTTTGATGGTTGAGTTCAGCTCAAGTTCCATTTTCTTATCATGATTTTAGAATCAGATATGTTGGCCCCATATTATCTTGTCCACACTCTAGTTGAATTGTCATGTCTAGGCATGTCAGGGCGTATTAATAGTCCCACATCTATGATCTTGGACAATTATACGAGCTACTTTTTGAGATTTAAGTTACGTCTTGATCACTAATCCTTGTATTCCTTTTTTAATTTTGATTTGTTAGCCACGCATTGCTAGCATACTCAAAAGCAGCAGCAGAATTAGAAGAAATGGTGGTGAAAATGGTTTTTGAGAGCTATGGTGTAGAGAAATACTATGAACCACATGTCAAATCAGTGAATTATCTAGCTAGAGTAATGAAATATAGAGAAGCACAAGTAGAAGAAGCAAAACTGGGATTTGTTGCTCATACAGACAAGAGCTTCATGTCAACAATTCATCAGACTAATCAAGTTAATGGTTTGGAGATCAAAGGGAAAGATGGACAGTGGTTTGGAGTTGAGCTTTCCCCTTCCTCCATCGTCGTCATGGCTGGGGACGCGATCATGGTATCGATCTCATTTCATTTTATGTGTCTTAATTTAACTGATTACTACAAAATTTAAAGAAAGTAAAAAAATGAGATGTGAATATCGTACCAAAATACATAATGCCCTTTTTATATCTTGCGGTCCTGATAAATCTCCGATATTATTAGGGTCAAATTGAAAAAGGAAAAGTAAAACACATATAAATTAAAACAAATGAAATAATATATAAATACATCACGTGTCAGTAAAATATTAGTAGTTTATCTTCTTTAATTACTTAAGGTGTAAAAGTTTTGTCGGAGCTAAAAGCCAATGTATGAAATTGATCAAACTCAATAGCTTTAGTTCAAACTCTATATTTGTATTACAAGTTCACTAAAATATATATAAAAGTTAAATGCAAACTCGTTCGTCACTAATACCAGATATCACTATTATAGAAGTAAAAATTCATAAAATTCAAATTTTTATTCTACCTCCTATTTTTATAAGTAATATTAAATTGAATAACTTAAAAGGTAAGTAGGAAAAATAAATGAAAGAAGCATAGTAGATATTTATGAAATAATTATCAATGTGGATAATACGATAAGTAACCTAGTACATATATACACCAGATAAATATATACTGATAACGTAAAAATTCTTTTATAACGTTAAGTGTGTATAAAAGTTCTTGTCTTTATATTTGATAATATTTGTTGGATAATAGGCATGGAGCAACAATAGGATAAAATCTCCACATCATAGAGTGATGATGGGGGAAGAAATAGGAGCAAGATACTCCATAGCACAATTTTCATTCATGGAAGATTCACTAATGGTTGAAACACCAAAAGAGCTTGTTGATGAAGAACACCCTTTACTATTCAACTCATTCAATCATCTTGATTATCTAAAGTTCTTTAGCAAAGAGGAAAATAGAAGACTTGAATGTGCTCTCAAAAGCTATTGTGGTGTTTGATATGCAAATTGCTTGTAATATTTTAATTTTCAGGAGGTGAAAGAAGGGGAAAAGGAAAATTAAAATAATACCAATTAAGTTTCAATTAATATGATTTTAATGTAAGCATCGAATGCGAATAGCTTTTTAAAAATATTTTTTATCATGAGGTTCACGTCTATGTAATCCGTCAAAAAATTATCCTCATTAAGAAATTTGTGAATTCCTTTTCGTTTTTTCAATTATGAGGTAGCGTTGAATAATAGATTTCAATATATTTTTACTTAGTTTGATATTTATAAAGTTCGGAATTGAAGATGGAGTTGGGTCTGATTATACTTTTTACGAAAGATATTATTTTACAAAGGATATTTGAAGTAAAGTTCATGCCTGAATGTATCTTAATATAACTTCAAAAGTAAAAAACAGATTGAAAACATGTTATATACTATTTATCAAACATTAATTTTCAAATTAGTGAACATTTATTTCAAAAAAAGTCACTCAACGTAACTTTATTTAGAAAGTCACTCAAATTTATTTTATAATAGAAGAGATTTAATTTGATTGTAGATACGTACGTCAACATATGCGGGGTAGGGCCGGAGGAGGTAGCCATGTGAATCCATTACACGCGGATTCAGTCTGGCCCTACAATTTATTTCTGAGACACAAGACAATCTAAAAAGCTTCTTTTCCCTTCAAGTGATCACTCAATTATTGCTAATTCACTTACAAAATCATTCAATCAATTCAAATGATATTTTCATGTCAGCTATAGTTCTATTTTTCAAAAGAAAAAAAGAATATCGGATCCTTTGAGCAAACTATAATCTTATGCATTGATCATTCTCGATTATAGAT